TATTATATGAAACAATTTCACAAGATTAAACAATTTCATGAAAAAATTTCATAAGATTAAACAATGAAATCGACGGATGAAGGTGGTTTACACGGTTTACACAAATGAGGGCGGTTTTTATTTGATCACTTCTCTCTCTCTCTCTCTCTCTCTATATATATATATATATATATATATATACATAAGAATCAAATTTTAGATGTAAAGTTGTAAACTAATTATATATATACATAAGAATCAAGTTAAAATACGTTACTTTTAATTTTTAAAAGTTTCATTTTAGTAATTAAGATGTAAAGTTGTAAATATTCAAGTATCCGGTTGAAAACTAATTTTAGATTACAAAAAATCCATGTGACTAACCATGTCAGCAAACAATACTGAATTGAATACCACATCACTCGTCATATCTGCATGATAACTAGTTAATGCTTCAACCGGTTACCCGGATACTTAAATGTTTGAAATTTTACATCTTAGATTCCAAAATGGAACTTTTGAAAGAATATTACCCAAAATAAGAATCAAGTTAAAATACATTATTTTTTCATGCAATTTGTCTTATTACAAATGGGTAAGTAGAGAGGAATTAAAATCTATTTTCATGTGCCATCAATTTATATCAACAAGTTTTTGATGAAGCATAACACCTTATTAAGAAATAATTTGAAAGTATAATGTCGTAAATAAGATTTTTTTTAAGTAGAATAATTTAAAAAAGAAATTAGAAAGTAGGTTGCTATTATTTTATTTAAGGAAAAAATCTAAAAAAAACCAATAGACTTTAGTGTTTGGAATGATTAAGTTTTTGGATAATTTTTTGGAATAAATAAGTCATTGGACATTCTAAAGCATGTTAAATAATTTCTTAGACTTTCTAAAACCTGTTAGATACGTCTTTATGACATATACAACTGGTTAATGTGGTAAAATAATGGAAAAAGTCTGAAAAAAATCCAATGAACATTAATATTTTGAATGATTAAGTCCCTAAATATTTTTTGAAC